AAATATGTCGCAGGTGTTTTTACTTTTATCAAATTATTACGTTTTTTTTTTTAAATTTACACCTGATAAAACTTGTTAAAATGTAATTTTTTTATTATTATTAAAGTTATAATAAATATAAAAAAAAAAAAAGTTTTTAAATTATTATTATTATTATTTTTTTTTTTTTTTAAACTAATATTTTAGTATGTTTCCGTCGCCATTTTTGTTTTTTTTTTTTTCGTTATTTTTCATTTTTAATTATTATTTACGACGGTTGTATGAAATTATTATTAAAACTTTTAGAATTATTATTATTATTGTTGTGATCCCAACGAAATGTGATATATTTTTGATAAGTGAATAAGAATAGTGACTCCATTCACATAGTAGACGCAAAGTCAGCATGTTTGGAAACTTCGCTTTTCTTATCTAATCTTAAGTGCTAGTGAATGAATAATGACTAGGGATTGTTTTGGTCTTCATATAAATAGTGGGCTTCGGCACCACGTCTTGGTCTTTCGACATCCGTCCGTCAGTCAGTGCATCTTAGGTTGGATTCAAGAGCATCACGTTCTATTTCCACTTACGTTACATTTAGTGTTTTTACTGATAAAGTAGTGTAACAAGTAGTATATTTGGTTAATATAATACATCAGATAGAAATTGCCTATTTATTATATTGAACATCCAAACCAACTATGAGTATACTGCAAGTCAGCAACACCGAATTCCTCGAGAACGAGATCCATAACAAAAATTGGCGCAGTCGGTAGGATCCCTTCTGGACACCAAGTGAACCATTAGAATAGAATATTATTCGTTCTGCGGTGGTGAGTTTCAACTCTTTATCGGAGACGAGGAGAAAAATCCAAGTAAGTGGAAATTTTAAGAATTGCTCATTAACATATCCAATATGCCTAAACCTGATGCCCCTTCGCAAAGTACTTCCCAAACGTTATCTCTAGAATTCCTGTGCGGATTCATTCCTAACGAATTTTCTGGAGAGCGAGACCAACTAAACAGC